ACAATGTACAAAAATTACTTGCTTGGAAACAAGAACGAGATAGTAAACATAAAATTTTTTCAATATTGTATCGATTTATTTGATTTCTTTTATAGTTTTACGTCGTAGTATTCGTCCTGCAACAAAATCACAAAATCATGATACAGAAAGTAACAATAATCCTACTTTAAAACGTCGATATATATTTACAGAAGATCAACGTCGTAGATTGAAACAAATATTCGAAAGTGAACCTTATCCAAGTCAAGCAAAATTAGAACAACTTGTTGATGAATTATCCTTGCCAATGAACAAAATATCGAATTGGTTTCATAATGCCCGAATGAGAACTAAACCTAATACGTATACGAAAGATACAAATAAAATATCTTCGACGCCTTTAACTGATAATAATGATGACGATGATGGTGATAATGATGAGGATGAGAACGATGATGATGATGAAGATAATACTTTACCAACAATTGTACCTTTAAATAATTCATGGTTTAATACGACAAATGATTCAGATAGTTCGACTAGTCCAATTAGTTTAGCAACATCATCAACAAATATTATCTCTTTAATCGACGAACAAAAGCCTACTCTCTCGATATCTACATTTAGTTCAAGTAGTAAAAAGCGAAAATCTATTCCACAAAAAATTATTACTACGAAAAAACTACATAATGAATCAATAACTGAGAATGATAATTATAATGACACAATACTATCAAATCAAACAACGAATGAATCAACAAATTCTGTTGATACTAATACTTAACAAAAAAAAATGTATTTTTATTTAGCCAAGGTGATATTAGAAAAAAAACCAATTGGTGATTTTGTAATTTTCTTTTTTTTTTTGGCGTTTTTCTTTTCTTTTTTCTTTTTAATGCTCAACATTTTTTGTTGTTGTTATTGTTCGTTTTGTTCTATTATATATATATTTGTGAGTATCGCTCAAGTATTAAAACTAGTCGTGAACAAACCCAGCTGCTTTAACAAGTGCATTAAAAAAAATACAAACAAAGAGAATGGCGTGATATATGGTTGTTTCGTTTTCTTTTCTTCAAATTCTTTTTCTTTTTTTGTTTTTTATTTGAACAGATTATAATTTTTGTTTATATTTCGATGTTGTGTGCGCGTGCAATAAATGAGAAAGAATACAGTATACACATCTAACAAAAGAATACTAAATATCAAATGATTTACTAACATTCCACCGTTTTTATTGTATTTAACAAAAAAAAATTTTGCGAAAGAAATTTAATATGTGTGAATTATGATTTTTTTTGTTCGAATATTAATAAAAATTTTCTATTTGTCTTTTTTGTATAATATTGAATATGCTTTCGATTTATTTATTTCAGGTTCAAGGGCAGAGAGAGAAAAGAAAGAAAGAAGAATATCGTATATGGTGATAATAGGATTTTCTTTTTTTTTACCCTCAAATTTTTTTTCGTATGTGGCGGAAAATAAAATGAATGTTTTTCATTTATTTAGAACGATTTCATGAACTTGATAAACGTTGTCGAGATTTTGAAAATGCAAATAATGAATTAAAACAATTGAATATTCAACTCGAAAAAGATCTATTAAGTGTTGGTGGTGTTACTGAATTATTTCGACGAGGACCTGAAGTGGATTGGTTTTTTTCTTTTTATAAATTTCGATGTATTTTATTTAGGGACAAACAAGTGATAGTAGTTCAAATGAAACTATAATAATTGAAGATGTATTAAATCAATCATCGACATCTCCAGCATCATTTAAGAATTCGTTTTCACATGTTTCATCACGTGATACAACATCAGATGAAGCATTAACTGCTATTGTTATTAGTCAACGTGAACGATTTCGTATTCGTAATGTTGAATTAGAGAACGTAATTCAAATAAATCGATTTTTTTTTTCTATAAGAAAAATCTTTTGTTTGTATTTAGGAAAATGTTTCATTAAAACAACAAACGAATATATTTCAAAATGAAATGGATAAACTTCGATCGGACAATATAAAATTATATGAAAAAATTAAATTCGTTCAGAATTATCCTGTATGTATTCAGTAAAAAAAACTTTTATCCACTAAAATTGATTGAAATCTTATTTTAATTAAATGACATAACATCAGACACGTCCGCAGAAATTTTTTCGGGGGGATTGACGACTCTGCAGAAAAGTACATCGTAGAAAAAGGTTATTCCAAATCTCTAAAAATTGTTCGACTTGTACTCCCCTCCAGGTATTTCAGTTTTTTTGCGGGGAGGGGGGATCGATCCCACCTCTGCGGACGTCCTTGCATAACATACCAATCAATAGTTTTAAGGAGAATCTTTCTAAATGATAAGATGATTGAAAATCAGAAACACTATTAATATGATAGCTATGAGATTCCTCTTAGAATAATATAATTGTA